GCGAGAGACGGGAGGGGTGGAATCGCGACGGAACGCCGGTAATTGGAACGCCCTCGCGAGATCCTTCGATATATCGCACCCCCCTTGAAAGCCTGATATATCGCCACCCCTGATATGCGTATACACGAGGAGGACTTTTCGCGATAACTTGATTTCCTCCCCATGGGGTGCCTCGTGGTCGAAATGGCTATATATTGACCCCCTCGGATGCCACTTTCATATCGCCTTAAAGGTCTGCGGGGGGTTGAACGGATAGGCTTCTTCGAGGGATCGATTTTCCGCGATACTCCCCAATTTCCAGGGACCACCGGCCAGGAATATCGCCGGGTGGTACGCCTTGATGCACCGAGAGGGTAGTTGCTCTCAAAGACGAGCATAATTACGTTTCAATTAATCGCGCGGCGAGGAGCACTCGCCTGGGGGTGGGTCCGCGAGACGGGGGCGGCGATTACGCGCCGTCTCCCCCGCGGGGAACTCGCGGGCTAGATTATTTCCGAGCGATTTCACCCACCCCGGCCAATTATTCCTGCCTTCTTAAGCGAAATACCATAACACCCCATGAACCACCCCAACCTCGCGTTCGCCGGAACTCGTTCCCCGATGCAACCCCCGACTCGCAATAATTCCAGGTAATTCGAGGTAATTCGCGAGAATTCCCGACACCTCTCTCGGGACTATTCGTCGCGGATTACGCAGCCCGGAGGTGATAATTAACGAAACGTTTTTTGCTGAAATGGAACCCTGAATTCCCGACGAATCGAGGATATGCGAAGACCTTTCATGGGATATTTCGGGTGCAGGGGGTTGGGAGTGATTTCTCAAATTACCCCCTTAATTCCGGCACGGGGGGGCGGAGGAGTGGAAATACGGGGTGCCAGTTCGATTCTTCCCTTGAGTCGCGTAACTCTTTTACGATCGACCTCCGACCTCCAGGAGTGTCCCCGTTTCGCGAAGGTGGAGTCGGTACGACCCCGAGGATCAAGCAGACACTTCGTATTCCAGGACACCTTCCTGGACATTTGCAAGCGATGGGACGGCTCCGAAAGTTCTGAGAAAGTGGCTCCTCCGTAGGAGCTTAGTCTCGGGACGTCCAGGGATAGGGAAAATATTTTTCCCCCCAGAGATTCCTGCTTTCCCTGAAAACACTCCTGGCCGATGTTCCAGGGGGGAACGATCCTCGACACGGGAGCGAAGACGCCACGGGATGCGAAATCCTATGCGAGGCAGTGATTCGGAGACGAAAGACAAATGTTCCTAGGGAATGGGCTAGGGGGAAATCGACGTCGAGCAGGTTGAGCAGCCAAATACCTCGGGGTGCTTTTTGGGAAAGCTCGGCCAGTGGGACCACGTGGGAAAATATACTTACGTTCTTAAGCACCTCTTCCATTTGCGTCACCAGGAGACGGTTCACTTACCTTGAAGGGATTTCGGATTTTGGGGGGGTTTTCGTTCCCACCCACTCACTTGGTCCAGTTTATTAAGGTGATATGAAAGAATCGTTCGTGACATTTTTCTTTCATGGGTGTCAGGACTTTCCTTGCAGCCTCCATATTCACGTTAGAGAGTTTGAAACTATTAGGTACACCCAGGTCGGAGAAAAGTTTCTTAGACGAGACCTCTTGGACGGCACTTTTGCGTTACCCTAAGGTGAGGGTCGGTGCCGAATGGCAGGTGTTCCTCTCACCTGGGAACGCAACGCGCCCGGATCGGTCCTCGTCCGATAAGTTCGTGACAAATTGTATCCACCGATTAAATTGGAACGGGGTATTTGCGGGAAGTTACAGGGGATGTTTACTCCCTCGGGTGTTTACCCTCGCGAGGAATGAAGATCGATGGTGGAACACGGAGGAGGAGCACCGGAGACGAGGGAGACGTCTCCAGGAGACGGTCCTCGCAAACGATCCCGGCTCTTCCTTTCAGCCCCGGACTTTTTCGGGGATAAATTACCCCAACGACCTTGACCTCGCGACGTCACCCGGGATAGGAGTCCGGAATTACGTCCCCGGGATCCGCTATGCCAGAAAACCACGACGGATCTTCTTCTTTCTGGGGAAATTTGGAGACATCCCCCTAGATGCCCTCTGGACAAGGAGAGGTGGGTCCACCCTTGTCGCTCGAATTTATCGGACTGAGTGGCCTTTCCTAGAGGTGGATCAGTGATTCCTGAATGAGAATTAGTAATTACATCCCCCTCTAGAAGGGTGCACTCTTCGGGGAAGATGGATTTGCAAGTCCACGCCGAGTGCGCTGCGGACCTAATCAGGGGATGTAACTTGAAAGAAATGGAGGTCAGAGATGGGGCTTCGAGGTGGCAGAACTTAATTCGAGAAGTGGAGGCGACACTTCTGAGAGTTAATTAAGTTTGCCCTCGTAAATTGCACCAAGGGCTGCACACGCCCCCAGGTTAATACAGACTTCGGACCCCCGACTCCAAGACGTTTCCGATCCTGTCAAATTCTGCGCATCTCTTCCCTGTAACTTTAAAAAGGGAACACTGTCGCGAGGGCTCTTAACCCTAGATTTACGGGAGAAGGGAAAAAAAAAAGAGTCGATCATTTACCCTGGAATTACTCCAGGAGAGGAGGAGAAATATTTAATTAGGGATGTTTGACGCAGAAGTCACCGGGTACTTACCAGGAACCCTCATGCGATGTTTGCTTCCAGTCCCTCGGGAGGCGGGTGTTCCGCGCCGATTCGCCCGTATACCGGACGCGATTTGCGGGCTCTCTTTATCGGAGCTCGGTGGCGGCAATTAAACGCAAACTGCCGGCCTCTGATCCGACTTTAAAGCACGAAATGGAGAGCGCTTCTGGTTGTTCGGGCGGATATGGAAACGTCACCGAACCTTATCACTGGAGCCGAAGTTCGGGATAAAAAAATAAAAATCCCCCGTCACCTGTACACCCCGTAAACCGGAGTGGCGAACGGACTCGCCGAGGTAACGGCGTTCCATTTCCCTGGGACAATCTCAAATGCGTGGAAAAAAAAAAGAAAGAAAAGTGGAAACGAGGGAAATTAATATCTTAGAACGAAACGAACATTACTCTCAGGGAGGAGATAAGGAAAATCAAGGAAGATCCGGGATACCGGACGCGTGTCGGTGAGATTTTCATTTTATTTCTCTCCCCCTTCCTCCACGCCCCGTCGCCTGTCGCCCTCTCTCTCTCCGCAATTCTCACGGCTCTTGCGAGATAACGAAATTCTCTCTCGTTTATTTTCCTATTTCGTATCCTTACGTAGACCGCGGCGGGCAGAGATCGCTTGTCCACCTTCCTTCCCCATAACAATCGATACATGCACAATGACACGGCGTTTGTCTGCGGCTTGAACGTGTGTGTGGCGTGATAGGGTGTGAGTGTGTAGGTGTACCGTGCGCGAGTGCGTCCCCTGAGGGACGGGAGATCCATTAATAATTTTTCCGTCATCCCCTCGATTTCCACCCCCTCCGACGGCGGGGGAGTTCGCGCCGGTCCCGATTAAACGGCAAAGTCCGAAAGCGGCCAAGAGCCGCGGCCAGGAACTGTGAAACTCTGTGCAGGAAACGGAAGCCCGATGTGAAACGCATCGCCCGGCACCGAGGGTGTGTCGCCTATAAAAAAATAAACTTTGCGCAGCTTTAGAAAAATAACACCGGGCCCTCTCGCGCCTCGAGGGGAGGAACGAGACCGGGTGGCCGGGGGGGTGGAGGTCGCCGTGCCGAGTTCACCCTTGCCCCGCGCGGAGCCCTCGACATCCGGTATCCGGAACCCCGACAGTCCTGAAAATTGGACCGAAAGTGAATTCGATATTCGCCGGCAGGACGTCTCTCGACTTTTCCCATTTTCCGGCCCCCGAATCCCGGCCGGTCGGGCAGTGACGAGGCGCGAGTCGAGACATCCTCCAGACGCGAGGAAAGCGCCCGGAAAACTGAAAGGGAGGGAAAACGGACCGCGGCGACGATTCCGCAGGAGGGGGCCATCGCATCCTGTCCCCGGTCCTGGAAGTAAATCCGCGTCGAGCTCCCTCGACGCGCCGTACCTACCCCTTACGTATATGTACATGGCGTGCGAACGCGAACTCGAGTCCTCGAGGTACTTAGAAAAAAGAACATCGGTGGAGCCCCGTGGCACGACGCTTATGTACAATCCTCTGGAATAGTTATTGCTATGATACATTTTTTACACCTCCCGACGCGCCCTCCGGCATATATCTACGCACGTATGTATATATGTATAGTTTGTTCGTTCAGTCTCGACGCTCCTCGAACCCGCCGAGTCCTGGGGCAGGACTCGCGCTTTCCACCCCTCGTGGAGTCTTGCCCTCCCCTCAATTCCTCCCCCGGTTAATTCCCTAAAGTCTATCTAGTCAACATCGTACAACACTCTACGCCCTTCTGCATACGTATTTACATCTTCGTGTCCTCGGGTAGACTATCACAATGTTCACGGAACGGCCGACGGAGCCACTTGTTCGTTGTAGCCTGGAGTTTCGCTGGAAATCGGGCGAGTGCCTCCTTCTTCCGAGTCCTTGCTTCCTTGTTTTTCCCTTGGGCTGGACAAGGGCCACGATGTCGAGCCCAGAATCTGCAATCCTGGACGCGTCTGACTGCGAGTAGAACGGATCGACGAGCTCGACTACTTCGTCGGCTGCGGTGGGATTTTCGGAGGGCGGAAATGCGGACACGGAAATGCGCAATCCGGCCGTTCCGTTCTGCAGTTCGTCAGCGAAGGTTCCCACGACCGGTCCCGTCGCGAAAGGACCTCGGAAGGACCTCGAAAGAACCGTCCGAAAAGTGCGGTCGGTCCGACCGCAGATTGTCGACTCGGCGCTTGGCTCCGTTCGGCGCGACCCGATCGAGTTTCCGACTGTCGGCGACGATCTCTAGGTCCCGGAGGTCCTGCTCAGACGTACCTCCGCCTTTTGGGCAGCGAGAGGTCCGAGAGCGCCACCCGATCCTCGACCAGCTCCACCGCGAAGGTGACCGACCTTCCCGGACACCCTCCCGGAGGTTCCTGGTCCCCCTCGGCCCCCCTCGGGGACGCGTCCCTGGGGAGCTGGGGGTCGAAGTCGTCCCGACGCGCCTCGCGCTACACGAACTGCGAGGGCGTCTTCCAGCAGCACGAGCAGCATGGCAGCGCGCTCTTCAGGGTGTCCTTGAAGGCCTCGCGGAAGTCCCGGTTGAAGTAGGCGTAGATCAGGGGGTTCAGGGCGCTGTTGAAGTAGCCAATCCAGAAGAGGACGGAGACCACGGCGTCCGGGGTGTGACAGGCCTCGCCGCACAAGGAGGTCGTCAGGTACCTGCAACAGAAAGCGGAGGTCGTCGACACCTGTTCCCAGGACCTCCTCGCTGCAGAACTCGCCCGCGTCGTTATATATAAATTATACGCAGAGAATCAAGAATTTCTCTATTTATGAATCCTCCATACATTCCGGGGATAAAATGAAAAGAATCGGTTTATAAAATAAAGCCAGGTGAGCGAAGATTCGGCTACCTGGTCGCGTTTTACAAAACGCAGGATTTTCCATTCTGGCTATAAGACGTATAATGAGATAAAAGGATCTCGATCGTCCCGCCCATTGCAGCGGATGGCCAAGCCTGATTATCCTCGAGTTACTCCACCCTTCCGGATAGTTGGGCCCGGAAACGTCCCGGGGGTTAAATCGAGCCTGCAACGAGGACGAAGGATCCTCTCGCTGGAGGTCGCGAGACGGACAGGACCAACTGCATCCGAGCGAGCGGAGACGTTGTCTCGTGCTAAAGGAAGGGAATTGCGCGTTATTTCCGCTCATTCCTCCCTGTTTATTCCCTTTTCCGTCTCTCGTCCTTGCTCGAAGTGCCGAGTAACTCGGGCGAAGGATCGCAAAGAGAAGTAACTCGGCTGAGATCTGGAAGAGGGCAAGATGACGGAAGCTGAAAGGACCGAAAGGAATACGAAACCCAGGAGTGAATTAATAGGGTCCTGCATTCAGGATACTCAAATTCTCGCCTGTTTCCTTCCCTCGGGACTCTTCCACGCGCGGTTTATCCGGAAACGAGGAATTTACACGAGAGATAGCATCCCATGGCGGAACGCGAGATCATAACGCGAGCGATGTAACTCCGCTTCCGTGTAATGGGATGCGGCGGATCGATTACACCGTTGCTGGAAACGCAATACACAGTGGGTCGAGTAATTGAGCAGACAATGGTGCATCGCTGATACTGCCGCGTCCTGGAGGGACGTCTCGCGTCACGTCTGGACGTACTCCGGCGGGATTTCTGCACGCCAACTCCAGGATGGGAAAAGTCGAGGGGAAATGTTTTTGAAAAAAAGATTTATTACGCGAGTTGGGAGGAAATTCAGCTTCCATTAGCCCAGGGGTCGCTCTCCGAGGATGCGCTCCCTAAAGAGCAGTTTTCGAGGGACCGGGTGCGATGAGGAAAGTGCATCCGCTGATGCACCTGTACAGCGGGTCCGCGTAAGACGGTCTCTCGCGCGTCCTGGGGCATCCTTGTATATCCTGGTATATCCTGGGGCTCCTGGAACGACTCGCGCCCAGAAGTGCGAGGTTCGTCGCGTCGCTGCAGCTGCATATTAATTAATGTTATGACCTGGGGGCCTCGCAACTGGCGAGTGCGCGCGCACCCCTCGCCGAAAAGCTCAGGTCCTGCGCGGATCCACCCTTCGTAATGAGGACGCTGTTAGGACGAAATAACGAGGACTAATGGCGACCTAGTCGGGACTCGCGATTCGAGTTCTCCTCCCCCAGGATTTCCGCTCTTCCAGTTCCCCTCTTTCCCCGAGATAGCCGGGTTCATCCTATTTTTCCGGAATTTTCCCCGCCGCGAGCCGCAAGGGCACTTCGTAAGGGAATCGCCGAATCCTAGAACTCATCCTCGTGAATTTAGGGATTTCTGGATTTTCTACGAATCCCCAGGGGAGCTTTTAAAAAGCGCCGGCCAAAGTATATTCCCGACAATCCGCGCGTAATTAACGCGGCCGCTGCCGCAGCGGCGATTGGCCCGCGGAATGAAATCCGACCCTCGGACGGCCGGGTTTAGCAAATCCGGATTTAACCTTTTTCCGCGGACTCTGTATATACGTCCGTATATTCGCTTTATAAGGATACCCCCGCCTCCGTTTACGATTCCGCGACGCGGAGCCTCGGTTTAGGGGAAGTGAAACTCCTCGACGAATTTATTCGACGTCGGGGAAAGGGTTCTTCTAAATACCTACGTATGTATATTGACGGCTGGGTCGAATTATGATTTGAGAGGGGTTTCACTCCACCTTAAGGGGGTTCCTTAACCGCGTTATTTCAAGTCCTTCGTCGACGTCAGGACTAAAGGCGTCCTAGTGCTTGGACGTGCTCGCTTGGATTGCAGAAATCGCGGCCCCCGTGTTTTTTATTTCCCTCGATGGGAGTCGTCTCGAATTTTATTAGCGATTAGCTCGACAGGGGCGGACGGGGGAGGCGCGGAAAAGGGGGCTCCAGTGCCTGGAACTTTTTCGTAAATAAAAGATGAGCCCTCCTCCGACAACGAGTCCTCTCGCCGAGGCTCTCCTCTAGGGAACTTACGTCGGCTGAAACTTTCAGGAGGGCTCCGGTGTCCTCGCCCGTTTTTAACCCCGACGAGCTTCCCGGCGAGCTTTCGACTTCCGCCGGCAGCGATTGTAGGGCTTTCCAAGGAGTTCGTCCGTCTTGCAGCTTCCGTAAAAATAGCCCCGAAGCTCCGACTAATTGGCCTGCGAGAGACGCGGAATCGAGAGGGAACGAGGTCGCCGGAATCCATTGCGAGGTCCTGGACTCCCTTTAGGGCGATCTCCGGATTCTCCTCCAGACCGGGAATGGGAAAAAAGAAATCGCGCCCACTCACCACAGGAAAAATGGCAGCCAGCACAGGAGGAACGCTCCCATGATGATCCCCAGGGTCCTGGCAGCCTTGTGCTCGGCTCTCCAGCTTTTCGTCGGCTGCCGTATCGTCGTGCCTGTGGGAAAAGCACCTGTTAACGATTCGATAGAGATCAAACGTTGGGGTGAAAATTAATCCCGGTTAGGGAAAACGATATCCAGGGAGAAAAGGATTCCTTGAAGTGGCGGCAAGGAATCGACGATTCGATGGGGCAAGCATCGCGATTGGAATTTATTCTGGTTCCGGAATTGCGATAATTCATTATTCATTTGAGTGATTTAATAAAGTCATTATTTTTATCGAGGTTAAATTTCGTAACATCGGGTAGGGAAGTGAATCTATTAATTTTATCCCGATTATGGGGAGTGGCGAGGCTCGTCCAGTGCAACTAGCCGGCTAATTTCTCTTGCAGTGCTGCATATACGTGCACTCGTGCACGCATTGAGCAGTCACCTTGAAGGCCCCGCTCGTTAATTTGCGAGCTGGATATTTCGGGGATCTTAAATCGTCGTGGAACGGGATCGATCGGCCAGAGGGAGAGAGAAACAGAGGGCTTTACACCGTCGAAGCTCGGTGGCCTTCGCGAGTGTATTTAGCGGTTATTCCGAGAGCCTTGGAAAGCCTTTCGAGGAGTCGTCCATTTTGGTCCTTCTTGGTCCCGAGATAAAGGAGATAAAACGACTCCTCGCCTCGGTTCCGTCCATCTAAGACGGATAAAGTCATTTTTGGGGGGGCACTTTCACGGCGGAATAAAAATCCCCCTCCGGGAAGTCGCAGGTGTTCCTCCCCGTAAAAAGGGGTGACAAGTATAGAGCCCGCCATTCGCGTGGGCATCGCGTCTATATAAAGAATTCCCGGAGAGAATCGAGCGGCCGCGAGCTTCGATTCCCAGGGCGTTAAATAATTCCCTCGGAGGTTCGCCACCCCGTCGTTCCGCTTCCGTTCCCTCGAGAGGAACGAATGGAAAAGGAGAGACTCCTTTTCCCTTTACGAACCTCCCCTGACGGCCACTTCCATCCCCGATGCGATCGGCCAAGAGTAGGAGGGCATCGAGGACTTGCCCCGTGAATCCTTAAGCAGGACCTTCCCCCTGATCCTGGCCACTTTCGTTCAGGACTTTCGCGCCCAGAAATGCAGTTGCGGAAGAAAATGGCAATTGAAAGGACTAGAGGGAAACAGGACCAAAAGAGGTCCTCCCTGGTTTATGCAGACTTCAAGGGGGGCTGAAATTTCCACTCGGTGGAGAAATAGACTTTAAAATCGTAATAAAAAAAAAAATCGAAGATCAATCCGAGCCGATTAAATCCGCCGATTTAAGGGGTAGTCCTATTTCCAGGACTGTTTAGATAATACGGGGAGCAGAATGGAAGGTTAGCAGTCGATGGGAGTCGAAGGAGAGCTCGCGTGTCTGGACGCAGTAAGGCAGATTTAGGTTGGTTGGTCGTTTCCCTCCCTCTTTGAGAAATCGATGTGCTCATCCATCACGATATAAGAATTATTCTCGAATCTCTCGGCCATCTCCCTGTCCTTTTTCACCCCCTGCGATCTGAATTCCAGAAAGCGGAGTCGACGACTGTTAACCCTTCAGGCCCGATTTCCAATTCTTTTTTTGACAGGCGACGGAGATAAGCGTCGCTCGACGTTAAATTTCGGGACGATCGATTCCCCTATTTTTTTTTTTCACGCACGTCAACGCGACGCGGGCACGCGTAAATTATGCAAACGAGGGAAAGCCGCGTGCAATCGGAGCATCGAGGGACAATGAGCCCCTGACAAATATTGCCGGACATAATTTCCGCTATCAGACCGCTGCGACTCAATTTTCTGTCTGGCCTTTCCAAACACCGATTCGATGCTTCTTCTCCGCGGGGGGTCCTCGACTGCAGAGAATCGCGACCCTATCATCTAGGCGCCGATTAAGGCGACAAAGAGGTCCAATTTGTTTATAGACATTTTTGCAATTTTTTTTATAAGAAAGTTCATGGGTTTCAGCCTCCATATTCACGTAGCAAAGTATCACCTTAATTCTCAGGTGATACGGGGGGGTAATTGCGGGGTGGGTTTTTCAGAGGAAAGGGAAAACTGAGACGACACGATGGCAATGCACGTCGTAAAGACGCGATTCCAAGAGGCACCTTCTGGGTTTATACGCTCGTCATTCCGATGGAGCGTATCGCCCCGAGGGGAGTGCATCGTGGGGGATGATCCCCCGCGAGAGTCGCCGAGGTGCCGCGGCGATTTTCCCCCGAAGGAGGCAATTTTCTCCCCGGGAAAGAGGGGGGTCGCGGAAATTATTCGACTCGTAAATCGACCCCTGTCGAGATTCGCTCGACCCCCGTAAAACGGAGGGTCGATGACCACCCCCGACTTCCTGAACCCCTTTCCCGTTTCGGGATTTAATTCCATCCCCTTCCCCTTTATTTCTCGGTAATTAAAAGTCCCTGCGATTTTGAGGAACGCCGGGAGGTTTTTACGGTCGTGGGATACCGTAGGGCTCGGTTGAAAGACGCAGGCCCGGGAGGGCGGAAATTCCATCCGGGATCCGTGGCGGAAAACGCGAAACGACGTCGCGACGCTCGTATACAAAATTCCAGAAATAATGGCCGACCGTGCGTTCCAATTTCCCGTGCCTGCTTCGGCATTTCTCACCGTCTACATCGACCCTCCCCCAGAAGAGTCCGATTTTACCCCCTTAGCTTGAGAATTTTCGGAAAATCCCAGAAGCTGCAACCCTTCCGCGAATTTCCTCCCCTGGAGTTAATTCCCGCAGGAGGAAGGGGAGGAGCTCGTATAAATTCCTGGCGGGATATTACGTAGTATCAGTCCTGCATCGCGATCTATCCGAGGCGTTCTTTGAGCATTTCCGGGGATAATTTCGATACTGCCTTAAAGTCCTCTAGCCCGGGGCCATAAAAGCTGTCCCGTGGACGCCCGAAGAGGAGCTTGCAAGCTCTCGTCGCAGAAGAGGCGGAAGCTGCACCCGCCGGGATTAAAAATCCCTCGCGATACGGCCAGGTCGGAGCAATAAGGACATTAATTAATTGCCAGGACCTCGTAATCGGGGTACTCTCGAGGACTCTCCTCCTCGGCGACGACGAGAGGAGAGGTCAAGCCGGGGATTAATTCCCGCGGTTCATTAGTCGGACGGCTCAATTAAGGCGCGTTTATTTGGCGATTCCGGATCCTGGGAGGAGACGTAAACCTCGGCCCGGAGCGTTTCGCAGCCGACGTTTCGTCGCCGGTTATTTCCCCGCCAGGTTGTATCTTCATTTGTACTTGTCCGCCTGAAAACGCGGGCCGCCCCCACGTAACTGACCTAACCCTAATAGCACACAATATTTGTCTTGTGTTTTCTATACGATTCGGTGGCGGCGAAATGTTCCGCTTCGCGGAAACCTCGGGAAACGCGGACGGATCTTGGTACGAAGCTCAGGGATTGGAATAATTTCGGGAGGGAAGCTGAGGGATTTGGACCTCCGCAGGATCTTAAGCATATCCGCGACGTGCCGCACCGCGGAGGACGTGCAGGGCTGCAGTTGCACCTGTCGCCACCGCAGGATTTCCCTGGTCGATGGGAGGACCGGAAATCGCACCGAAATTGCGGATGATCACCTTGCAGTCTCCGCACGTGCGGCCGTGTCTGCGCCGACACATCGATTACCCCGTGCGACGACCCTGGCGCGATTTTACCACTGCAACTGCACGCGGAAAATCCTCTCGAAAAACGCATCGCCGCATCTGGTGCGAAGTCGCATCGCGATCTTGAATTTTCCCGGCGAAAGATAAAAATCGATGCGAGGCCGCAATGGGCGTCGGAAGTGAAACGTTAGCAGGTGCAGAAAACGAAATGGGACCATGATTAAATGGATTGGACGGTTTACCAGCAACTTCGCTCCACATTGTTAAAAAAAAAAAATATCATGATTTTATAACATTTTCGTTGGAAGTTTTATTCAGACATGGTGTACAACGTTGATAACATGTTTTCAAATCGGTACTTGATTTTAAACGGTTTCTCTGCAGACAAAGAAATTCGACATATATTCAGGGCACGTTCGAGGACGATTTTATGAATTTTTTTGACAGTGCACGAGGAGGGACGAATCGAGGGGGAAACGAAAATGTGAAACGCCACTTTGAAGTCCCCTCGAGAGGGGTAACTGTCTGGCCCTCGAAGCCGGATTTCGGCTGACTTATCGACAGACGGACGGAAAAGTGGCGGCTCCCTTTTCGTTATTCCTGGAGGTTCGCAGGGAGAGGGAACGAGTCCCGCGGGATCGCAACGGGAGGCAAGCAGCCTCGGTCGGCGCTTTCCAGATATCGAGCGAGCCGGGCAAGGGAGTCCCGGGTTGTTCCCATTGGAGCTGGTTCGCGTTCACTGACCTACCCTATTCTACCGCAAGCCCGAGTGAAATCAACCCCATAGCTTTCCCCTCCCCCGTAATTCCCACCCCGCGACTCGTGGACCCTCTTCGAGACGGTCTTCGAGCGGGGAAATTCGAGACTCGCGGATCGATCTCCAACTAATCCTCCCGAAATAATAGTCCGATAAGGACTTTCCGCGCGAACCCTTCCCCATGAAACGTCGCACCGGTTAGGGGATTTGCGATTTAATATCCGGCTCTCCCGAGTGGTGAAAAAGCCTGCCAGGCCTGTCTCGATGAGTGAAATATGGTAATGCCGTGGTCCATTATATCGATCCGAGCGATTAAATATTTATTCGGCAATTTATCGATCGGGAGGGGCCGACCGGCCGTTTCGCGCCGACATCGATCGTACGCTCGACCGGGAGAAGAGGTGCCGCCTCCAGGATTAATATTCAGCGGCCCGGATTTATTTTTCCAAGGGATATCGGTCGAGCCCGAAAGCCGTCCGTCTAAAGGTTAATCGATTCCCTCGAAATGCCCATTGCATTCGATTTTTCCCACGTGGGGCGGGGAAGGTCCTTCGCAGGAGTTTGCGGCGCGATGCACCTGGGGGGCCACAGGACGAGGGTAATAGAAATAAGCTCTTCGTATATCTTCGAATAAATGGTTCGTTCAGGGCCGATTGAAGATTCCGTTTGAGGCGAGCTTTCACGGGGTGCATTCCGAGTGCTCGCTGATAAATAAAAAAGGGAAGGCGCGAGGAGGGGGAAGTGAAATAAGGTCACAGAGACGAGGCGCCGGCGACATCTCCGCGTGGCCGCGATTCCGCCCTGCGGAAACGCGCCGGATTCCGTCTCCTAGGGACCAATCCCTCGCACGCGGATCCCCTCGTGGATGTTCCGAGCGGAATAGACGCGGTATATACGCGGCAGGACTCGAAAGTGGCACGAATCAATGCCCGTCTCGTCTCGGCTCGATGTCAACCACTTGTCCCATATTTTAGACCCTCGGGGAAAGCTCATTGCAAGCGAAAGCTCACTCTTTCTACGCCTCTCTCGATCCCTTGCCGGGAAACTCGCTCTTCAGCTTCTGGCCGGGATTCCTTCATTCAGGCCGTCGATTCTAATCCGGGTCAATTTTGTCCTTTTGTTCCCCGACGCCTCGGCAAGGATCGCGGAACGTGTCGTTTCGGGGCTGCCTCTGTTAACCCTTTTCCGAGGAGAGGAAAATCGGTCTTGCACATTTTGATAGTCCGAGGCTGCACTTTAAGGGGATCTTGACTTTCCCTAGAAACCGAGACGCGGATTCCGCAGGAGCTTCGCAAGCTCGAGGACCCCTTCGTTTTCGAAATTTACCGCTGATCGAGGGAAGCTCGACTTCGAGGTAGGATATCTTCTCTTCGTCCCCTCGACGTCCTTCGTTCTCGGAAAAATTGACCCATTTCCATTTGCGGTCAAGTGTGCCTTTAGCTTCCGGCACCGGAGGAGTCGCTGCGTCGCGACTGTCATGGCGACGAGGGGAGGAAACTTGGCGACGAGAGGTCTTTAGGGTTCGTCTCCGGGATTGTTCCGGCACCGACTGGGGAATATAGTTGCGGAATATCGAATCCGAGAGTCGGTGCAAGCTCGTGATCGATCACCCCTGGAAACGCGGGGCTCGTTCTTTCTTCTATCCTCCCCATGTTCCTGCAAATCGCGCCTCCTCTCCATCTCCGTCGACGGGTTGACTCTCGCGGTAATTTCTCCGGAGAGTTGCGCCAGAAACATTCCGGCACCTTGGAGAAACTGACTCTGGGGCAGCGCGAGACTTGAGAAACAAGAGAATTTCCGAGACGTTCCCGGAAATTCGTGGGAATTCTCGAAAGATCAAGGAAAATTGGAAGAAATTCGGGAAAAGGCCCTCTCTCCTCTCCTTCGAAATCCTTAGCTTGCAAGCGAGTAAAGGGGAGGGAAACTCGGAAAGTTGGAGGGAACTCCCGAAAATTCCTGAAAAATCGAGGAAGTTCCAAAAGAATTCGGGAAAACTCCGCCTCTCGCGAGGAATCACCCGGAAGAGTCGCGCCCAAGATTTCGGAAGCGCGCCAAGTCCTCGAGTTGCAAGTTACAAGGGAAGAGGGTTAAGGGGCAACCTTCTGCCACCTCCGACCCAGTTTCCGAACCTTAAGGCTATCGACGAATTCAATTTGCGCGACTTTGTCCCCGTAGTTTAGCGCCGGGTAAGCAAGGACCCGCGACGTCTGGGCGACCTCGCGGAGGGAAATTGCCGAAGAGGTCCTTTTTCCCGCCTCTGTTATCGCCCCAGGGCTGTAATCCCGCAGGAGTCGCTTCGTCGAGGCAATTATTAAGGAACAGTCGGCAATTAACCCTCGCTACCGAGTTTCCATTCTTGGTTTCGACCCGTTTAATCACGAAACGCGGAATCGAGGGGAGCCTCATTCCGCCGACTCGCCTTATCGAAGTTCGCCGAACTCCGCGAGGTGATATCCGCTACCGGATGCTGGGACGCGGAATTTCCGGAAATGCTCGCGACTATCGCAGCTTCTGCGGTAACAAGCTCTCTGTTAGGCGGGCGGGACTTTTCAAGGGATTACCTTATTAAAATGATATGAAAGGGAACATTTTTCAAGCGATCTTTCTTCTGCGCTCGATACGGCGGAGCTTTTCGAGGCTTATTGTCACGGGTCGAACTTTCCTAGTTTCTCATTAAAGTTTAGCCCGACATTTTCCTCGGGTCCCTCTAGGTGCGAACACCCCTTTCCGGACGGAAACGCACGCGATTTTGTGCGCCGCTCCCCTGCAAGCTCTCGGCAACTCCATTCTTCAACAATGACGCGAGAGAACCGAGGGAACTTCGGAGTTCCGCGAAAGATCGATCGGCGATTTCTCAACGTCGAATGAATTCCCGAATCGACGATCTTCGGAAAGGAAACCTAATTCGATCTCGAGCGGAGGAGGTGATCGACGCTTGAAATCACGCTGCAAAGTTCGCGAAACGATTTGGTGCGCTCAGTACGGAGGAAATTAATCTTCAGGACATCCCCTTAAGTCAATATGAAAGGGGCATCCAAGGGGTCAATCGTTTTATAAACTTTTCTGCAAACTTCATTAAAAAAAAAAGTGTTTCATCGCCATTGAAATCGGCTTCCGAGTGGACTCCGAAGAGAGGTCAAAGGGTGCCGAAATGGCTTGCTTCCTAATGGCCGGCTTTGCGGAAGCCTCCTGGCTGGCGTTCGCCATTTTGCTACCGAAGACGGAATCGCTAAATAATCCGAGGAAATTACTCCGGAAGTGCAGCCAGCGGCCGACGATATGGCCGGTCATTTTTCCGGGTATCCCATTTTCATTCGGCCGCATTATTAATGTTTTCGAGGTTCTCCGGATTTTCTGGGGCATCGATTCGAGGCTCCCACCAGCTCGGTTCGCCCACGCGTGCGGAGACTCCGCCAGAATTTCCGCGGTGATGTCTGCCAAAATGTGCATTAGCAGTCGCAAACGGTGCTCCTCCGTTAGTCGCCGACGTAACCTCGCGTTAATTCCCCGACGTTACGCGTTTCGCATGCTAATTCCCCGCCGGCGTACCTTGGGATCGATCTCGGTGGGTAACGCGCGGAATCGCCTCTCCGCCTTGCGGAAGGTCGCGGGGACTCCAAGACGCGAAAAATTACCCTTTACTCTTGAACTTCGTCATGCGATCTTGAGTTCAATAATCAAGTATTGTTTTCTTTTGACGTTTCTACAAAATTATCATTTTTACCTCCTCACTCCTTCGTCCCGTAAGAGGTAAAATTGACCCTAAGGTCAAGAGGTAATTTCTTCGGGATTTCATGAAATTGTGACTTTCACTCTCAGAGCGTTTTCCCCGGATAAAAAGTAGAATGAGAAATAGACCTTGAGATCGATAATCAAGGGGTATCTCGTTTTTGGGGGGAACCTTTGAATCTCGATACCCGGGACCGATCGCACTCACCATTTTCGACATTGAGCTCGACGGCGGATTTGTAAGAGGGCCTGCGGGAATCCCCGACATCGCTGGGATGCAGCAGGAGCTGGTGCGACGCTCTCGAAGGATGCCTCGAAGAGGAGACCCGATGTTGGTGCACGTTGTTCAGGACGGTATTGCTGGACGCTCGACTGAGCGCCTCCCTCTGCCTGACCGCCTCCTTGTAGATCTTGCAGTACATGACGATCATTACGAGGCCAGGGATCCAGAAGGAGACCGAGGAACTGATCACGGCGTAGGGCCGGTTCACCACGAAGACGCAGACCTGAATGTTTCCGATGAAATGAAGGTTTCCGACTCAACGAGGGACGAGAACGCTCATTACCCGCCTGATCCCCGAAACCACGTATAGACCATCCCAAAGAAAACCCGCACAGGAAGTACATAGGAAGTATTTACCTCGAGAAGAAGAAAAAAAAATTCACTGGACCTCGGAAACATTTTAATAATTCAAGGGAATAATTATTTGTCCGAAATAGGTAAAATAATCGAATTCTGATTTTTCTTTCCTTTTTGTGGACTTTCCTTTGGTCTTGTATGAGGCGGTTACCTCGGAAATCTCTGGGAATTAATGGAAACGAATTTTAACACTGGGGTCAGAATTCGAGAAGACGGTGAGGGAAGGAAGTGGAGGAAAGGCTGACTGGGCGGACGGATCGCCGCAGAGGAACGGGCGAGGGTTTGATCGGACCCTGGTGGTCCCCGCTTCGAATCGCGCAGCGTTGACAAGGCGTGTCAATGGGACTGGCGGAAAATCGGTGGATTCGGGAATTCACTTAGGAAACTGTACACGAGTGATTGGATCGAGAGCGGCGAGTGGCGGGTAGCCGGGTATTCCGCGAGAGGGATTTGGTTCTATCGGGAGAAATTCGTGAAAAATGAGAAAAATCGGGAAAAATCGCGAGAGAATTACGTGAAATCGTGGAAAACGGAGGCAAATCCAGGGAAGTCGTGGACACTGGAGAGAGATGCGGGAAATCCCGGAAAATCGAGGGAGGTCGAGAGATGGAAAGAAATCGCGGAAAATGATAGAAAAACGTCGAAAATCGCGGGGAATTCTGGAAAATCATGTAAAACCGTCCTGCGACTCGAGAGATCTCCCGTCGAACCGAACCCTCCGTACCTCGGGGTTCGCGCCCAAGTACTCCAGGTGTTCCTCCGTGGTGTACCAGCCCATGAAGATGGGGATGAAGCTGATGAGCGCGGGCAGTAACCAGGCGCTGCCCAGCATCCCCGTGACGGTGAGTCTCCGCATGATGACGGGATATTCGAGAGGCCTGACGATGGCGTAGTATCGGTCGACGCTGATGCAGCAGAGATGCAAAATGGACGCGGTGGAGAAGTAGACGTCGAGCGAGCACCAGACATCGCACATGAACCTGCCGAAGACCCAGCGACCCGTCAACTCGACGGAGGCGTTGAACGTCATGGCGCAGACGGCGACGAGGAGGTCGGCCGTCGCGAGGCTGACGACGTAGCGATTCGTCGGCACCCTGAGTTTCCGATGACGGCGGACACTCGCGATGACCAGGACGTTGCCCAGCACGGCGGTGACCATGACGAGGACCATGGCGAGGCCCTTGACGGCGACGATGGGTAGATTCTGCTGAAGCGAGGGAGCGTCCACGGCGGTGGGCCCCGGGTCAAGGGTCCCCGCCGACCCCCTGGCCTTCTGCAAGCTGACGATACGTCCCAGGATGTGGTTCTCGTCGATCTCGGGCGTCCTCGTCGCGTCCATCGCGGACTCCGCTTTCGACCCTCAAGACACGTCCAGAAACCCGAAGTCTCCCTGGCCGAGTCTGATTGCCACGGGCCACTTCGCGGCCGCCACTTCACGGGGCTCTACTTCCAGCACCATGGCTCGACCCTGGATCCCTTCCACTTCCGGCCTTCTCCAGGGCACGCGGTCGCTTCCGGTCCCCGGTTAACCCTTCAACTAAGGCAAAGTCGGACGTGGTGATGTACCACCTGGACGGATACCTCTAACCGCGCCGGATATCCGTCCCGAAAACGCCCCCAAGAACGATAACCACTGCGACTCGCGGGTTTCATCAACTTTATTGCTCTTAGCCTCGGCTTAATTAAACTTCATTTGATCTCAAGCCGCGACGGCTGCGTCGCGGACGCGGCATGAATTATCGACGCTTCCAGCACAAGGTGGCCCCAGGTTCGGCTGGTTCTTGAGAATTACGAGGGAGCCGTGGAATTGGAGCCGGCAACTCGGCGATAACTCAGCCCGCGAGCCGTGAAACTGGGACTTTCTTCGGGAATCCGATTCCTCGGGATGCTAATTCGAGGTGAAGACGTCGGGTGATTAGAAGGAGGGGCTGAGGGGGTGGGAAGAGCCATTGGGGGTCGAAAATGCGGAGCGGACTGCGCCGGGGGGAGGCGGCAACGCCACCCCCTGGCGCCCAAAATCTATCCGCAGCGTCCCGGAGGGTCCAGCCACCCTCTCCTCCCCCCTCTGGCGCCTTGGCGTCGGTAATTCCCACTCTTTCCGCGAACGTCTGAAAATTGTATATCGCTCGACCTTGTCCTTCGGCCCCCACCCACCCACCACCCACCAGGAGCGTCCAAGAGTCGCCGATAACTCGACCCTACGCGCAGCCGCGCGCGACCCGCGGCGTCGCGACGCGTCACGAGGCCTCCAAGGGGTGCAAGTTCAAGAAAGGCGTCGATTTACATAGCTCAATATTCATGGGGAGCTAATTTCGACTACTCGATTCGGGATTTCGGATCGCTGACTGATCGAGGAATACTCGCATATCAAAAGTGGCGGACTGGAAGGAAACTTCGAATTTCGAAATTCTGCCCTGAGGAAACAGAAAATCGTCGATAAAAAAGATATGTACCTTGCGGCGACGAAATCCTACCGACCTCGCGGCGTGGATGTGCAGGGACAATTTCGTTTGGATTTGAGTTTGGAGGAGCTGAGTTTGGCGCAGCTCTTTGATTATCAATGTTTTTTTCTTCTGCTCTTCATCCGAAGTTGTCGAAGTTTGCCGAACTTCGGGAGAGCCGAAAACTGGAGGGAAGGAAACTCGGCGCATCGGTACTTCGTGTAACGTCGTTTCTAAGTTATCACCGCGTTGGCTCACAAGCGGAACGGCATAACTCCGTTTTGCGGTAAAGACTGCGTTTCGCCGCAACCGTGCAACTCGATACAGTTCGCACCGCAAGGAGAAGTTGGTCTCCCGCGGGTTCCACCTGGAGGAAATAGGTGAAAACTATCTATAGGTGGAGGAGGCGCGATTTTCCTAGGGGGAAAGAGAAAAAGTCACTAATCGAGACGCTTTCGGTCTAACCCCCCACTTGGAGTTGAGATTCTTTGAGCAATTTCGCGAGTTTGGCGGATTTTTCGGGATTTCAGAAATTTGCCGAATTTTCCGAATTTCCGGTATCCGTTTTTCCTTTACCGGCCACTCGTCGGATCGATTTCCCTGTGCGTTGGATTTACAGCCGTCCATGCCGGGCGCAACTCAAAAGAGACGCGTGCACCTAGAGGGTAATTAGGGCAATTGCAGCGCGACCTCGAGGGCGCAGGGCCCCGACTTGGAGGGCAAAAAAAAAATGAAACGGAGAGGGCGGAACGGCAGAATCGCACTTTTCCGCACGCGAAAAGGCCGCGGGTTTCGGACACACTGCGAGCACGAACGACGCCGGTAGACTGAGCGTCGCGACGCTCCACGACGCGGCGCCGCAGTCCCCGTGGCGGTGAATACGACTGTCGCACTCCCACGCGACCATCGGCGGATCGGACTCTCCTCTTCTCACTCGCACTCGCGCGGGGCGGCCTCGCTCGGTCTCTCTCCCACTCACGGCGAGGGGTGGTCGTATTATCTAGAGTCGCCGACTTCTTCGCTCGTCTCCCGTTTCGTTTCTCCTATTTAGCGGAGGATGCGTGGGGAGGATCGGGGAACGGGATAGGCGGTTTGTCATCGGAATCCACCCCTGAATCCAACGAGCTAAGAAAACCACCCCGAAGACCGTCTCGAAGACCACCCCTAAGAGCACTCCGAAGAACACCGAGAGTGGCCTTGCCGACTACTTCCGAACTCGTTGACACTCCCCATGATTTTCAGAGAGGACTTTCCTGCTCTCCTTGTTACCAACTTTTCCATCCAATTAATCATCGAGAAGGCAGGCCGGAATTAAGGCGTGACGAAAGGGATAAATCTAAACGTCAGAATATTGATAAAACTTTTGTCCAAAAAAAATTTATTTCGAACGATGAAATTTTCCTAGTCTCAAGACCTTCGCCCAGTTTTGAGGAAAATTTCATAAATATTTCCATGTCGCGATATCACTCTTTCATATCACCTTAATCAATTGGAGGGCGCAAAGTAGGAAACGTGGAAGTCGAGGACGGCGCCTAAAGAGGGGTGGTCGCCCTGCTTTTTCGGAGGGTGGAGTCGAATCCAAAACCGCGGTCGATTCCGCGACGTTTCCGGACGACGTGCCTCGCGATGCCTCGGGAATAACACGCATCGTCGTCGATATTTTTAGCGCGATCGGTTTTATTGCCCCGAGGAGCACGAATTAGGACACCGCCGTCGAAGGGAAGAAATTGGCCGGGGTCGTGGGGGCAAAAAGCGGCCGATAAAAGTCATCTCGCCGCCCCTCCTTTTTTCTCTCGCATCCCCGTTTCGAAAAAAACCACCGAGCCGTGGGGCGCGGGCGGCAATAATTTTCGGGACCATTAATTCCGACCGTCTTTTCGGAACAGGGGGCCGTCAATTTGGGGGTGGGATCGATTCGGCTGGTCGAAATGATGAATGGCTTTCGGATAAACATCGCCGCGGCATTCTGGGCGATAATGGCCACCCCGGGCGGTGCGCGGTCTACATTGGGGGATGGAAAAAAAAAAACCAAAGTTGGACGCTTACCATTATTTTACCCCATTCCACCGCGGTTTTCCGCGCGAAGGAGATGCCGAAGTCGATTGAAACGATCAAGTCGATCGGTAACCTTACGTGGAAATTATTTTTTTTTTTTCCTGGATTTTAGTATGACTTGGATAGTCATTCCATTAATCTGGTAATTATCTACCATTTTGGAAATGAAAAGGAAAGTGTCCTTTTTCCCTGGCTCGTATGTCGTTATTCAGCCGGTAATAGTAGGAAGGTTCAGCATCCTCTTAACCCTGAAATCCGAGGACTGCGTCGAGCGACCTCGCGACATCTCCGCGGGGGGTTTTCGTGATTTAAGATCCCGAGGTCAGTCCCGGGGGGCGGCCCGAAATTTCCACCCCCAGTCGGCGATCGATCACGCAACCACGGGGCATGTAGATATAAGCTTGCCGCACTTAAGCTCCGGCTCTAACGAGGGAAGAATCGACTCGACCCGAGGCGAAGGGATGCTCGAAAGGCTTGCATCGATTCAAAAATGACTCCTGGCCTTGCGGAACCTACGAGAGACGCTCCCGAGGAGCTATTCACTCAGAAATCAGTGAAAACGATTTTTTTTTATTAGACCGATGGACCCCAAAGAACCGCATATATCTTCCTCGCCGTGGAAAATTCAGCTCTTCACTCTCTGGGATGAAGGGCCTCGTAAAAGTCGAGATTTGAAGAAGGTCGGGTCTCGATCCCTGCGCAAAGTGTTACAGGGTGTTACGTACACCCCGGCGCAACACTCGTCGATCAACGCCCACGAGCCATTGAGCAGGGGGTGGCAACCCCCAAAGACACGTCGTTGCCAATCTAGCCGAAGAGCCTCACCCCTTGCCCCATGGCGACCCCGAAAACCCCGAGGAAACCCCTTAAAGCCTGCCACCCTTCGCCACCCACAACCACCCCTCGTCTTCAGGACCCCCAAACCCACCCCTTACTCAATGAATCTCGTTCATTCATACCCCATACACCGCCGCGGGTTCTCGTCCCACCCCTTCGACGAAAAAGATGAATCGCCTCGCCGAATTCATTAATACCTTCCTGCGGCAAACCTCCCTCGATGAGGCTTTAATTCAAACGGGTCGTCGAGGAAGATGGATGGGGTTAACTTCCCTCTTAGATAGGAAAAACATCCCCGGGGATTACGGGAATGACGAATTTTCAGCTCCGATGCATTGCGTCGATAAAATAATAAGATAATAAATTGAAGGTACGTTTCATTTTTTTAACTCTGTGCGAAGAGGGGTTCCGTTGCCCCAGGTCAAGGAACCTCCTTCGCGTCTTGTCGATGGTCAGGATCTTCCCGAGATTGGAGGGCACCTGCTAATTAGAGTCAACCCCTTCGGACATGGGCACGTAATGCACAGGTAATACCCGTGTAACCCCATGCACCGCGTAACGTAGATTGGCGGAAACCCGGAAGCGGGGCTGATTGCTTCGCTCGCTATCAAGCCGCATGCGGCCGATGTAAATCCGCTCGCGGGGGCAATCGATGGCTGCGTTTCCCGGTCGATGGCCCTGCGGACGACTTCGCGATTTGTCGGTTCCGATCGCGAGGTTAATCTGCGGAACTCCCGCAGACCCGGGCTAATTGGCGCGGAAGGCTCCTTTGTTCGTCCCGCACGCGGAAAACCGATGTAAGTGATGGTCGAGATAAAAAAAAATATATTGAGCCGAAAAATAATGACATTCGCGATATATAAATATTGAAGAAGTTTTAACACCGGGGACAATATGTACATCGGTCATTTTAAATAGGGAGAAAAGTATTTTCCTGCAGTTATTCATTAAAAAAAAATGATAATATTCTGCGAATTTCTGTAAAACATTGAAAGATGTTTCGCGA